CGTTTGGTCGGACGTAACGAGCAGACACAGAAGCTGAACTGCCTCTTAAGCTGCGGGTACCGACTTAGGTAGGCTGCTTCCGTAGACTTACATCCTCACTTAAGGAGGCTGCTTCCATAGACTTACATCCTCACTTAAGGAGGCTGCTTCCATAGACTTACCTCCTCACCTAAGGAGGCTGGTTCCATAGACTTACCTCCTCACTTAAGGAGGCTGCTTCCGTAGACTTACCTCCTCACCTAAGGAGGCTGGTTCCATAGACTTACCTCCTCACTTAAGGAGGCTGCTTCCGTAGACTTGCCTCCTCACTTCGGGAGGCTGCTTCCGTAGACTTACCTCATACAGAAACATGCAGGCATAAGTATATGAAGCATCTATTATTTTTAACAAAAAGAATGATGTTCGTATGCTATCCATTGCCGCTGATAATAATAATAATATTATTATATTATTATATAATAATAATATAATTTGCATTGCAAATTCCATTGCAAGCTACTCATTTGCTTCTGTGTAGCTCATGGAGCAATATTAAGCTGAAATGCAGCTGCTTTGAGGCAATTTTCATACATACAGTATATCTACTGCGGCAATAGCCCCACTTGCACTCTACGCTAAATTACTTCCATGTCTTCATCAGGAATTTTCCAGCCCGTCATTACGGATCAAATGAAAAAGAGCTCGAGGCTTCATCTAATTCAAAGGCTAAAGTTAAAAATCTCCATCTAATTCAAGATTCCGAAAATAGAAAGCGTCTTAGTTATGCTATTTAAATTCCACAGAAGAGGCGTGCTTGGTTTGCACTAATGACTGGAGCTCTGGATTAAGACATTGCAAACTTTACATGCGTAAATTAAATTAACGAAGCGAAAATTAACTGAAATGATTCGAATTTTTGGTGATGTTTAAAGGGATGTTTTTAGATTCCTGGGGCCTTTGGTCGGGATGAAGGCGCTGGATTACGGCTTGAAAAAGGCACTAAACAAAAACTTCATTTATAGAACAGCGGTGTAAATAATGTTCGTTGGTTTATGTGTTATAAACAATTGTTTAAGATGATTATGTGTCAAAATTCAATCAAAATATTGCTAAAAGTAAGTGCGGGGTTTAACAAATTTTATGGGCTTTATTTGTGAGATCAGAATGATGCTAAAAAATTTTTTTTTAACCAGCACCTGTGTTTATAATCTTGCTTGATGGGAAGAATATTGCGTGAAAACAAATCGGAGAGGTATAATTTTTTGTTTAATGTTTGTATTTATTGTATTTTCAGTTCGAGTACGCAAAAAAATTCCCGTATTATAACTTATACCTATAAAAAGAATTAGTGAATCAGCGAAATGAATTGCAGACTTTTTTAAAGGATAAGATTAACGTGCTTTTAATAGCTCGTAATAAAGAGTATATGGGAGCGAGCAAGAGCAAATTCCTGGCAGTAAGTTGCTATCGTTTGAAAGAAGATGAGAGGAATTTAAATTTCAACGCGGCTAAATATTTAATTATAATTTTAACTGCAAGAGACTCCGGCGTGTCGGATCCGGCATAACGTTAATCAAACAATAAACATAGAACAATAAACGTTCGCATAACGTTCATTAAACATTAAACTTCCAGTAAAATATAGGAAATTTTTGTGAGGATGGAGTAATTTCAAATTGAGATTCAATTTTAAATATTGCAATACAAGGAGTAAAGCCTTGTATTGAATTCTAAAATATATTGTATTTCGTATGTCATATGGAAATATGTTGTATTTTTAAGGTAAATAAAAAGGCTTATTCTCTAGAAGGCTTTTCATGGCAAAAAGAAAAATTATCTTAGTTGAGCATAATTGGTTAAAATGGTTTATGATTTTTTTAAATCGAAATCTTGTCAAATCAATAAATCGTCCTCTGCCCTTAGATAGGACCAAAAATATTATTTAAGTTAATGGGAGTGCTCGAAAAAACAAGTGAAAGGTAAAATATTAATTGTAAATTATAATATTTCTCAACCTCGATGAGAAATTTCATCATCTGCTAACAGGAGAGGCCGAAATGATTAATTTATTATTTATACAGTTATCTTAAGAAATGCAAGACCGTAATGATATATTGGAGGAAATCAACATGCGAGACAATTTAAGAACTTATAAGGCATTTCACTAAATTTACGCTCGACGACGTTGGACACATTTCTTGTTCTGCGAAAAGTTCTCCAACGGATTTGAAAACATTATTACATGGAGAATAAGCAATGCGATTACACGTTTAGACTGATCAGACATTTACTTGCCGAAAAATTGTTTTAATTTGTTTTAGCTGTTTTCCACCATCAATCGTAACTATGCCACAAAAGGCAAAAAAATGAATGTGTCCTCAGGAATGAAGCAATAATTCTTGCCTCACTCATTTAAAAAAAATAAATAAAAGGAAAAATACAATAACTAATACAATAATCAAGCTCCTGGAATAACTTGATATCGCGCGCTGTGATACCAATTACGAAAAATAAGTAACGTGGATATCTAAGTGAGTGTCGTGGATACGTAAGTGAGTGTCGACACAAGTGAGTGTCGTGGATACGTAAGTATATCCACGATAAGATACTTATACGGATAGAAACTAAAGAAACGACAGGTTGAATTGGGTTGACTAAATCATATGAGACTTGTTAGTATTTGAGTTTTGTGACTGGAGAGGGAAACTTGTGACTATAAGTTTCTTGTGACTGGACGGGTTGACTTGTGATGCTTAATTGAGGCTTGTGACAGGGCAAGGGGACTTATGACTGCTTAAGACTTGTGACTGGTCTGGGAGGGCAGTGACTTTTTGTGTCTTGTGACTGGACATTGAGACTCGTGACTGTAGAAGACTAGTGACTGGACACGTAGACTTGTGACAGTTTGTGGCTTGTGACTGGAGAGGGAGACTTGTGACTATTTGACACTTGTGACTGGACTGGCAGACTTGTGATTTGACAGGACGACTTGTGACTATATGGGGAGATTTGTGGCTGGACGTTTAGACTAGTGACTGGACGGAGAGACTTGTGACTGGACGTTGAGACTAGTGACTGGACGGGGAGACTTGTGTTGTCTTTCGTCGCTGTAAGGGACATGAGAGTCCCCAGAAATTGGTCTCACGAGTCCCTAATTTAAGAAGAATGATCTCCGTTTCTCCTCAAATAATGGAGAAACTGAGAAGAAGTACGCCGAAATTGACGCGGGATTGGAACACTGCGCTTCAATTGTTCAATTAGTTTCTCCATTGTTTTCTAGTATTAAATAATATATCGTAAAAATATAGTAAAAAATAATATCGTAAAAATATGTCGTAGAACTTTCATTCTTAACAAACATTTGAGGCATCAGAAATTCAGTAAGATTTTAGTCTGCAATTTATTATTTATCCTCGCGAAGATGTGAAAACCATAAGTAAGAGCTGCCAAATAAGCAATCTAAAGATTTTCAGAGTATTACGGAAGTACGTGGAAGCAAAAGATGATTATATCAATAAAGATTGAATTTATCACTGAAGTATAGATTTGAACAAACATATTTTCCAGCACTGTGAGTAGCATAAAAGTTCGCATAGATCAGAGCCGCTATAAATAAATGTTTATCTCTGATATGGCTGATAAAGACCGTGGTGCAGATGTAAACTGTATACCAGCTGTACCTGAGAAACACGGTAAATGCCTTTGCCCTGCGGGGTGCCTGTTTGTAACTTCTATCAAACTTGTGGTACGCTCACCAGAATAAAATTGTAATTGGTAATTCCTGAAAATATTTCCTAGTTATTGAATAAATAATTGACTTGAATTGCTACCTGGAGCTGTTGCTAATGCCTTAACAGCTTAGACGGCATTAAACAACTTAGATTGGCGGGACGCTGGTCGAGGCTGGCAGTGAACCTTCAATATATACTTCGGTCCCCTATTTCATTCTAACCCTGTAACCCTAAACACTGTCTGATGGGCGAGTTCAGATAACCCTAAACACTGTCTGATGGGCGAGTTCAGATAACCCTAAACACCATCTGATAGGCGAGTTCATTCGAACCCTAAACACCGTCTGTGCTATGGAGTTAACACTAACTCGGGCGACCTTTGAACTTCAACTTTAATCTGACTTTCAAATCTCGTTCAATTAAAACCACAAAATCGCGCATATACAAGGTCCGACAGAGCACTTATTTTAAAATAAAACAAGGTAAGGTTTCAATACGAAAATAGACTTTTCTTATGTGAACATTTGAGATTTGCGAGATATTTGCTTAAACTTTAACTTGATTTATAGGTAACGGAGAACTCACGTTCTTCCAGTACTCGTATATTGCCGGCTCGAACCTGTCACTCTGGTTCTTGCCTACTTATAAATGTGGGGAAGCCTGTAAACAGCGGAACTTCTGTAAGCCTACATCGCTAAGTGTCTTTTCTTATCGACGCAACGAACATTTAATGGATGCCCAGCCCTGAAGAATAAAACTTTTCCGTATTAAATTATTTTATTCCTTTCGTTTGTTAGTGCGTAATAGAGGTTTGCTTCTTGCGTTGAGAAATTCCCTACGATAATTTGGAATAATTATTCCATCGGTCTGTACACATAAATTCATGAGCTACAAGCATAAGAAGCTCAACTGTTATTTTAACTGGTACAATTTCTGCGGTCTCATTTCATTATTGATGCGAATAACTACTGTTGATGTTTTTTGTGCATAATTCTATGGTATATAACAACGCTGTTTTCTTCCTTTTTTATATATTTTTATTTATTTTATTTTAAACATAGGAAACTAAACTGTTATGATAACCGGTACAATTTTAGTCGTCACATTTCATTATTGATGCGAATAACTACTGTTGATGTTTTTTGTGCATAATTCTATGGTAGATAACAACGCGGTTTTCTTTATTCTTTGGAGCACCACAGCTAGTAACTATAATATTCGTCTTTCTAGAACCTAATACTTGCTAACTGACGTGTATAATCTTCACTTGTCCTTCAAGTACAGTGAAGCCTTGTCCCTGCCCTGACGACTTAAGCAGCAGCGCAAGCAGCGGCCCCTCAGACAGAGGAGCCCAGTGACTGAATGCGGTGATAACCTACGCGAGTTCAGTGAAGTTCAGGTGCAGGTTCATCACATTGACTTATTTTACTATTTGTTCCTAAATTATCGTATAAATGGTAGTGATAAATTAATTTAGTTTTTTGTTGACATAAACATGCTTTAACGAGCGTTGGCATTTATGCAACTCAACTCTCATTCCTGAATTACATTTTTTAGGCTAAATTCTGAGATAGGACAGAAGAAGATTTTATCGATGATTATCTTCATTTGCGTTCTGCCAGAACCCAAATTGAGATTTACACCGTAAACGCTGTAAAATGTATTTCCCGGTGCTCGCAATTACGACGAATAATATTCTGCATTTTCTGAACAACACTATCTAGAAAGGCCAGTTTCACTGAAGACCTTGAACCAGCAGCTCTGACTGAGTATACTCGTATTATATTGCATAAACATCACAGATCTGTCAGTGTGATCTCCCATCAAAGCGATCGCCTCCCAAATGGGGGTCGTACAAGTCTTCTTCTTGGCCGCCGCCATCTTGCCGGTAAGTTATTAGAGCACCGTAAGGCATTTCTTGGTCAGGTTAAGATATGGAGTACCCATTAAGACGCCATTCTGAATAAGGTTTTTAATTACGAAATTAATATTTGCGTTATGAAGTTCGACTTCTCATTTGCTTTCTTGTAGATCAATTCTGGATGTATCTTTTTATTGCACAAGCACCGTTTGATTCGCTACAGGCAGCATTATTCAATATGGTCCTCAAAATAATGGTCAAGTTGAACTAACATCAATCAAGTATTGAAATAGATTGGCCTCAGTATTATGCCCAGCAATTTTCAATCTGGCATTTCCTATTCGAATTCTCCTGAAAATAATTTTTTTGCGGGACAATTTGAACAAGTTTGGTAAAATTTGACTGTCTTTTAGTCGCTATATTTTACTTTAATTATGTTATTACTGTATTGAACTTTTGTTTTGGTAAACGGACGCTTAATGTGCAGAAACTTTTCTTTTGTGCCACTGCATTGACTCATATGCGACTACAACACAGTTTCGTTAAAATGGGAACCTATATTATTTATAAAGTCTAATGCTTATTATATAGGTGGTAACTGTCACTTATAGTACTTACTTTCATTGTAGTCCTATAAAAACGAAAATTCAGTAACAGAAACTGCGTCATAACTATGATTAGAAATCATACGATGCATGTCTGGCAGGACAACTCTAGAAAGAAGACAACTTGAGTTGTGTTCTTCAACCAAGGTAATCGTTTCAACAGCACAACATAATTGCAGAATATAAATATATATCCGTAGAACACGATTCGCATCCGCCTTTTTTTAATTGAATGTTGCAATTGTGAGGTCAGCTATCTACGCACTGACATCTAATCTTGAAAATGTCGAGGATTTTTACATCTATATTTTATACGTACAGTGATATGAAACAATAGGATATGCATTAAAAACAATAATCTTACTACAAAACCACACTCATGCAAGTTTCTATCAAGTGGACGAAAACATTATATCTGTAATTGTTAATTAAGCATTTTGTTGCTACAAACTTGCAAGCGGGCGATTCAAATCTTATAATTATGTTATAACATTATTCTAATGGTGTTGTTGTGAAATATAATGAGGCCACAAATCTGGCCACTCACCGTTACGCCACCTATAAACTACTATCGCCACCTATAATCATCGGTGCACCACCTTTAATTTTTATTTGGGTAGAAGTCTTGGCTGTACCGCGTCCTCCCTGCATGTTCCACTGGCATTCATCAGTTAGTGAGTCGAGCATTGCTGCCCTAGAAGTCTTGGCAGCACCGCGTCCTCCCTGCATGTGCTACTGGCATTCATCAGTTAGTGAGTCGAGCATTGCTGCCCTAGAAGTCTTGGCAGCACCGCATCCTCCCTGCATGTGCTACTGGCATTCATCAGTTAGTGTTTATTCATTAGCTCGGCACAAGTTATTGTAATATTCGGTGCGACTGTAATATTGTAATAATATTACAGTCGCACCGGTGTAATATTGTAATTGTTCGGTGTAATATTGTAATACTCGGTGTAGGAATAAGCGACGTAAAAAATTATACACGATGTAAAAGATAGATGGCGTGTAGGCAAGTGATGAAGGAGTGAAGCATTAATCTCAATATTATATCAGATTACTTCGAATTTAATGTATCAAGTGATGAGCCCTTATTATCAGTGAGTTGTGAATATGTCAACTTGTTTCAGAATTTACTTTAGAATGTGAAATGATGAAGACATACGATAAGGTTTGTTTAGTGAAGTCGAGCTTAAAGTATGTACTATAAATGCGGGGGAAATAGGGGATTTATTTAAAATGTTAGTATGACTTGCAGTATACACACGCATAAGACATCATGCACTCGCAGTATATATCATGCACCTGCAGTATACATCATGCACTTGCAGTATACATCAAACACATGCAGTATACATACGCATAAGACGTCAGGAGACGAGCGATACTCTGGCAGGCGTGCATGTGGCCGGGATAGAGGCCCAGTGTTGCCTCTCCCTTGACAACAGCGCCATAGTTGATCGCTTTAGCCGTGACCTCGTTGAGTGTCTTGTAAATGAACGCCTTCATGCCTCTGCTAGCAGAGGCTGGACATAGGCTATGCATGTCCTGTGTGTAGTAGTCCTTGGTTATAACGCAACTGTGTCATCTACTGCTGGACAGCAAGCTTACGTGCAATTGAATACGGCAATATCTTTTTCAGACTTAGAAAGCCAACTTAAGATATCTGTAGATATCAGTGGAAAATTACCTATGTTTTCTGCAGAAGCAGGAGCAAGTTATATAAGATCTGTACAGGATAAGGATTACTCCCTCTCATTAAATTATTATGAATATGCTACGAATAACGTATGAGTGCAACTTGCAGGCTACGGTGAAGCAGCTCTAACTGAAGTTGGTAAAGGTTTTTACAATAGTGGCAAGAACCCATATTTTGGATTGTTATGTGGCGATAACTACATTACTTCTTATCAGCAGGGTGCATTATTGGCCATGGGGATTAACATAAAATTTAGTAGTTCTGTTGCCAAACAAGAGTTTGAGGAAAAGGCTGGAGCTACATTTGGTAGTATTATAAGCGCTGCAGAAAGCATAAAGAATGTTGTGACCCGATATAAGATCACTGGTGCAGTGATGATGCAAGCTTTTCAGGTGGGAGGAGACCCCAGTCAACTTTCTAAGATATTAAATAAAGATAGCAGCGGGAAGTACTATGCACTGACATGTAGCCTTACAACGATGGATGATTGCGTATTAGCTGCTAGTGGTTTACTGGATTATGCAAAAGAAAGCTTTTCAACGCAGTTTTCTTTTCAAAATAATACAGGATTAACGCCTCTTGGTATTGCGTTTAGTCAGTACGCATCAATTAAGTATATAGGTCTTGTTGCTCCTCCCTCTCTAGTTACTCAGGAAGTTATACAAGATCGGAATAGTCTGTTCACTACATTAAAAGAAAATCAATATTACCAACAAAAACTCTACCCGTTTTTTAATCAAGGATACCCAGTTGGCCTAGATGCTACATTCCTCAACAAGTCGAAGTCAATTTTGTCTAAAGCAGATAGCAATGTACGTCTGTTAATGCAAGCACATGAAGGAGCGGCTGACTGTTTTACTTTTCCAGATCAGTGCCACAACATTAGAGCTAGTATAGATTCTCAGCTTCAAAATATTACAAGTAGTGATTTAACATTTATAGATGATATAAAATACTCAACTGTTACTCTAGGTGGTATGTTTTACAATACAGGCGGAGGTTCACCGACATCATGGTCGGCTGTTGTTATACCAACACCTCAATACACACTTCTTAACGTCCTCAGCGTTTACATTACAGATAAAGAATACTCATTTGACGTTTATGTTTATGACAATGCCCATGATTTACATGAATACGCATTTACCGGTAACTCAAGCGATGGTATATGGTATGTTGGAACCTTATGTAAGGACTATCTTTTCAAAGAAAATGATTGTTGGCCTAATAGTGGATTTATTAAAAATATATCACCATTTTTCTTTGAAGCTTATGATATTGCCGACGATATGATGACTATGAATGCGTAAATCGCTTATAATATATGAATAATTAGCGATGAATGGTCTCAATAACATAAGCTGTGATTTTGTCAGGCAGATTTTGCATGAAAAATTGCATAGTTAGGCTAATTGCAGATATTAAAATAAAAAAATATGGCGAACTGATTCAGTGCAGCAGCTCAATCTCTGAAAGGCATTGTCGACTTTTCTTGAGCCTTCGTCCACGATAAGAAGATTATCTTTTGAATCGACTTATCATCAGAAAATACACCATGGTTTCTTATATTTTTTCTAATTTGCCTATTAATTGACTCTATAAGATTTGTGGTGCAAATTATCCTACGGAATTTCTCTGGATATTGCTGGAATATTACAAGATTCTCCCGTTATACCAGATTGTTGCAATATGTGGATATTGTTCACTGTATTCTTCATCAAAATGTTCTAGCGCAAGATGTGCTATACATCTTCAGTACCAGAGCAATAAATAAGCTTTAAATCTGATGCCAATATTTTCTTTCTTTATATGATACATTCATCAGACTATTTCAACTTGATGAACTACAAGCGGATGAACTATAAGCTGATGCTCAGTTATGGGATAACCTGCACTTATTGCTGCAGACATACCATAAAGGTTATCACTATATGCAATAAAGATATCCTTTAATCCTCGATTTTAAGCGTGCTTGGTTCATCTAAGCATTTTTAGGATAGCAATATCCTGAAAGTGCTCTGAGAAACGCTATATCTTTATTAAGTGAGCTTTTAAAAAAATTCAAAATACCATAAAAATAAAAGACGTTTTTACCGTTTAGAGATACCTCATCTACGTACATTTAGCACATCTGATTCTAGTGTTTATTTTAGAAATTCTTTGTCATTAGCGCCTTGAAGCTTTTTCCAAAATACAGTATATATGTATATATACCTGTGTTCTATCAAATTTATCTTCTTCTCACTGCTTTCCAGCGATATTGGCCTATATAATAGTGAATTTTTTGAGACTCTATTGTTCCGAGACTCTATTGTTTCATATTCTAGTCGTGTTACAGATCCCTTCTTTCCATGCATGTTGATCCATCGGCTGCGTGCAAAGCGTATGTATAATAAACTCATATCGAGATAAACTGCGTTACTGAACCTTCTTGTGAAGTTAAAGAAAGAACTTCTGTCATCTAATTTCCTTGCATATTCTATAAAATATTTATGAGAGATACCGTGATGAATTGTAGATCATCAATATTATCTTTATTCGACCTCGCCACTACATGCAGTAAAAACATACTTGCTGGAGCTGGAATTTCGTAAAAGCATCTATATAGTGTCTACTGTTTAGTAATTCGTTGGTATGATCTTGTTTTGAAGTATTTAATTGTTGCTCAATATAGATTCGAGAACTCAACATCTGATGATGTGTCAATACCAGAAAATAAGTCTGAG